CTAAGTTAACTTCGATTCAAGAAATCTGTTTTATCTGAAGAAATGAGAAAGAGAAAAAAGAAGTTTAAAAGCAAATTATTTACGGAATAACAAAATCTGTGATATTTAGTTAAAATATTGATGTCCTCTTAATTAATCACAAAAATATGTATAGAAAATATTTTCTTGATTGAATCAAAAAAGTGAACAACAAATTCATGTTATTAGAACATTAATGTATATAGGGGTAGAAATTAAGAAGATTTAGTCACTAGTCCAAAGGACTAATAACTAAAAGAACAGAAATAATACTAAAACAATTAACATTGATTGCTAGTTTAGAAACACTAACTATTTATTTTATAGTGGTCCAAGTCATATTTAAGTCACCACTAATTTTGTGCCCTATATATATCTATACACACAAATTGAAACCTGTTAATGAAGTTCCCTTTTAAAAAGCTTTAAATTACCATTTAGACTTCTATTTCCACAATGCTAAATTAATAATTTCAAAAACTTTTGTTTTCAACTGTTAAGAAGATTGCAATTTTCTTTTCAAAGCATGGAAAATCAATCAAAGAAAATAGACTTAAGTTTTTAGAAATGAAATTCAGCATGGCAAAAATCTATGGATTCTGGGAGAAAAAGTTTTAGGTGGTCTTAAATGTGTGGTCACTTTTTTCATTGACCTTCACACTTAATTCAGGAAAACATGTGTTATGAAAAGTGTAGAGAGAATAAGCCATCAGAATAGTTTCAAAGCATGGTATTGTATGAGTAAAACATGAAGAAATAAGTAGAGAGGAAATGTTACAGAAATTTTTAGTTTATTTGATGTTATAAAAGGTTTAGAAAGATACTAAAAACTTGGGACAGTTTTCCACAACATATTACTTAGGAAAAGAAGAAACAATAAATTCTACTTTATTTCCTTTAGAAGAGACACTTAAATACATATTTGCTTCTTGAATGTTTAAGTCTGTCATTTTACATTAAACTTTATTAAAGCAATATGGGTAAGACATTATAACTTCTGTCTACTCAATTAAAAGCTGTTCCTTTCCCATGAAAAACTCTTTTGACATGTTTAACTGTTATAAAGATAAAAAGCAAATAACTGACTCATTTTAGCTGTAATGTTAAAAAAGATCAGAGCTGGAACTGCCTAAGAAAAAAATGTATCAAATTATTATTAGAATAAAATGCCTATGCACATTATATATTTTGCATGAAAATTACATGCAGTTACATAAATACAACACAAAAAGGAATAAAAGGAAAAATGCAAATTTAAAGCTCAATTAGCACACTCTAAAGTTTACTTAGCTCTTCAGGAGGCTGTTGCTGCTGCTGTTGTTTTGCAGCTTCAGTTTCTACACAAAGCCAATTGCAAAGAGAAAAGGAACGAAAGAAAAGAGTAAAGAAATAATTGCATAAATTACAAAGAAGAAGATATACGTGTAGATCAGAAATGACTGAAGGGTGAAAATTTACATTCAGGACACACACAGTTTAATAATTAGCAAGTTGTTTAAAGTAATAATTATCATTTAAAAGAAAAATAAAAAAATATACTATGAAATTATATTAACATTATAAGTTATAATTCTTACATATAATAATGAATATATAAAATGTTTTCAAAGACAAAATACAAATAAAACTTAATCAAAAATAACTGATGAAGTCCCTTATACTGATGATGAACTTAAAATTTTTGGATGAATCCTATGCTTCTCAAAAATTTTATTTTATACTTTTTATTTTATTTATTTTATAGTTTTTTTTAGCAAATTAGCAGTCTTCAAATCCTCATAGTGCAGGACTTGACATAAACTGCTTGGTTTCAAATGCAAAAAACACCGAGCAATGATAATTCTATTTTGAGAAAGAGAGATAGGCTGAAAGGAATGCTTTCTCAAGTTTTAAGGCATGCAGCACAATTTGAAAAACCAGATAGAAAGGACTGAAAATTTTTTTAATAACTACTGAGATAAAAAATATTTAAAAAAAAACATCCAACGGTGTGAAACTACGTGTCAAAAATACATTACATAAATTTGCATGACATAATAAAATCTTATTAAAGAAGAATAAAATTTTTGAGAAGGGGAAAAAAATAATAAAAAATATAACATCAAAATCAAAGTTAAGATTTTATTTACGTTTTTTCTTTTGAAGAACAAGTAAGAACTTTCAAGCACTTTTAACAGTGCTTAATTTCTATGATGCAAAATTATACTCTATTAAATACATTTAAGGTACGTATGAACTCTAAAGAAAAAGGAAATTCAATTCAAAGAAAAATCTACAAAATTTCTTGTTCTGCAGCTCTACAGCAGATAAGAAATCAAAAGTTACGATAGATGAATAAAATAACTTCTGAATACAGTGAATGGCTCTCTTGCATTTCAAGAGGAATTCATTTGAAAGTGGAAATTGTCTATTTTTCTTCACACATTCAATCCTCTTCTATGTCCCACCCATTTAGGTGAGTCCTTCTTTACTATAGCAAGAGGATTGTAATATCATGGGTTTAGGGAAATGTGAAATCTTTCTTTTGATTGAAATGAGGGGGGGGGTTGTCAAATTAAAATAAAAAGTGAGATAAGTGACTAAGCCTTAAAAACAGTAAATAAAAGTTACTATTTTTTAAGATACTGACATTAAGTGAGAAAAGTGACTCATGCCTAGCCCTGCAAACATCATATTTACTTGAGGGTAAATGTATCATATTCAGAGAAATGTAATAATTGTATTTATTTATTTTCCAATTTTAGAAATTTTCCTATTCGGTTGATTTATACACCTGACATAGTAGAAATTTGATATCTTGTAATCGAAAATTGGGCTAAAATTTCCAAACTTTTATGTTTCAATAATTTTTTACAACTGATTAATCATGGATCAGTGAGCATCTTAAGACATTTTAATAAACAACAAAAACACCTACCGGAACCAGCAGAAAATATCTTATTTTCTATTTTTTCCTAACTTTTTACCTAAAATCCATTATTCAAAATTAAGTATTTACCAGAATTTTTAGTGATCAATGTACTAAGTTAAAAGTCTTAAGGGATAGAAATTGCGAAGAAGTACCTAATAGGCAACATTACTAAAACATTATACACAAGTAAAATTTCTTTTGCATTATTAGAAATCCTTTAAAAAGTATCCTTCACCATATCACCATTTATGAACTTTTTTATTATTTATTTCCAGCAGCAGCGCTAGATGTGTACATCATTTGCTTTAGTGTAAAAACACTCCACACAGACCCATAAGGAATAACAACAAATTAAAATTTAATAACATTAAAGCATTCAAAATGCAAAAACATTTAGATGGAAAAAAAAAACAGTAAATAGAATATCAACAATAGAAATATAAACAGAAAATAAGTGAGTTAGCAGTGCCTGCAACTATTTCCTAGCATTCTAGTATCTGTCATAGATGCTGCCAGTTACTACGGGGAAACCCCCCATATGCTCAGCATTCATTGGGGAGTTCTCCCCTCACACGATACAGTTTGGATCTCAATCTTCATAAATGGCAAGCCCATTTATGAAGTAGTAATTCTGATTTTAGTCTACAATATTGAAATTTTGAACAGATGGGTGTCATTAAATAGGGGTACCAGAAACATACAGTTTAGACTCTAGAGGAATTTAAATTGGCCGAATGAAATTCTGAATTTCACTGAATCACAAAGACCTGCAGACACGCACACTTACTTTTAACTGAATATCAAATTCATTTAGCCAAATTAGATTTGATTTGGACAAAAACTAAATAGAAATTGAATATTTAGCTGCTATCTAGAAAAAAATTGTCTAAATTAAATTCCAAAGGATTATATAATTAAGTTGAAACTTTAAAAAATAAACATATATATAAATTTCTCATTTATAATTCTAATCTGATCTGAAATGAATAAGAATAATTCTTTTGGTTCGTGATTTTAAATTTTTATTACTTCACCTTTTAAATCATGTTTCATCCTTTTTAACACTCTACCTTTAGTACTAAACTGCTGAAGTCAATAAGTAAAACAAATATAAATGAAATGAAACTATTAGTTTATTGCTCATTGAAAAAATTATTATTTGAAGCAGTCTTTATGTTTTTCTTTCTCAGAGCAAATGTGAAAATTCAAAGTTTATTAATTTCTTATTTAATATTTGAAAAGTAACAAAATCTTTACAAAAGAACTAATGCAAATACATAAAACTGATGAGTGTCAAATAAATTTTTTCAAGTCTCCAAAAAGTGAAAATATTTGGAAAGTAATGAGGACCTTTGAAAATAAATCTGAAAAATTTCATGCAAAAATTATTTTTCTTTGGTTCTTAACTTCTAGTAACTAGTTAAATAATTTAACAGTGCACTCA